TTAGAGGCAACAGCTCATTATGCCATACCCGTGTAACTGATTTGACATATGTGCGCCTCAAAGATCACTGTCAATTATACCACAACAGATGAAATCATATTTCGGGTCAGAGTTCTAATGAGTTCACTGTGGGTAGAAGTTTAGAAGTCAAGTATACAATTAACCAGACTGTTGTACTTTGTGCTTCAATTGCTTGTAATTCAATCCACTGTGAACAAGCTTGGTGAAAACATATTCCAGGGGTAGTGTGTCTGTTCTATATTTAATTGTCAGACATTTAAGAGATCAGCAATCAACATGAACTCTTACACCAACTCATTTCCTTGCTGAGTGACTTCCTTCAGTCTTTTTTCCAATATGTATGTTAAGTTGCAATCTACATGTACACTTTCAAAGGAAACATATCTTGAGCCATTTGCCAGCAATCTTTGTGAACTGTTGAAAAAAAATCTTTCTTTATTACATTTCATTCTAATGCTAAGACAGAAGTTGTTTCTCTAACCACTAAACCGTCTCCGGTAATTCATTGAAACATTGCAGACTTCCTTTATTTCAAATGTCTTTCTAGGTCACATCAATCCTACAACAAATTAAAAAAATCTTTTGTTCACAACAGTTGCTTATACCATACTCCTACTACAGAAAGTATACCACACCAGACTAAAACGTTTACACCCCACAATAAAGATTATTCAGCCCAATACTTAATCTAGTGTCTAAATCTACAATGCTGGTCACAATGCATAAATACAATAAAGGATCTCTTATAGGAACTTACTTATAGGAAGTCAGAGGCCACAAACATTTAGAAGTGCATAAGTTGTTCAAAGGCTGACAGTATGGAGTTTCAACGTAATTTGTTTTTGGCAAATTTAAGATTTTATTTTAGTGACAAATGGAAGTTATACAGAAGGTAAAGTAGATCAGTGGAAAAAATAATCAAAACCATTATCGACAAGACACACATCAGGAGTGTGTTAGAATATTCTCTTGCTGACTGGTTGAGTGTCACTTCATCAACACTCAAGAAGCTCAAGAAAGAAGCATTTTTTCTTAATCGGCACCCTTCCCACCACATTAAATAT